TTGACATCTCTCTCTCTCTCTCTCTCTCTCTGTCTCTGTCTCTCTCTGTGTTTTTAAATGATGAAATTAATATCAACTGGCCAAGATCGAGAAGTGCTATTAAATACAAGTGATCTCCCGACAGGAATCGCCCCCCAAAAAGGTAATACAGTTCGATTCCTGTCGGTAGATATATTCATAGTTGGGATAAGAAAATCAACATCCTCTACCAAGTGTTTCACGAAATAGGAGAAAATAAAACGTCTAAAGTAGAAAAATGATATGGTAATAAATAACTTTCATCATAAACATCCAGAATATGGAAATAATAATTATAAAAAGAATCATTTTACTTCAAGAAATGTGGTTACTATGAATAAAAGAAACTCAGAAAACCTTATTGAGTAGGGAGGACAATAAAAGAACAGGATTTAAGGCGAAAAAAGATGACGATTGACGTTGCAAGAAACTGAATGAGATTCACCCAAGTGCGAGAGAAAAAAAATCGTAAGTTATATTCTAATAAAACTTAGGGTCACATCTAGAAATTTCATCAATAAAATGATGAGACTTAGCTGCTAATCTAATACAGCGCTTAAAATCTTTAAGTCGATGTACCAAAGAATAAATCTCATCAGAACAATTACCATGAAAATTTTCCTAGATAACACTACAACCGTGGGAAAGTGACTGAAGCTTATTTGCCAGGTCAGGAGTGATAACATTGCAGGTTTAATTCGGTGTATGGATCAGTTATAATGAATTTAGTATCGGAGATAAAGATTTTGAACATAGAATAGACTTTTCTGTAAAACGAAAACATTAACCTAACAACACAATTATGTTTTTAAAAAGCCTTATCAGATTGACACTTTCATACACACAGCATCGAGCTCGTTCGGAAATGTCTATCAGCTAAGTACAACATTTTTATGAGATGAATGATTGAAAATAGATTTGAGCTAATGAAAGGAACAATTATTTATAGGATCTCATAGACAGGCGCTACACAATCATAAACAAGGAATTTTACCAAAGAAAAAGAATCATAAAATTTGAAGACTTTCAACAGCAGCAACAACTAAAATGGATATGTGAATAGAAAATAATGCACATGTAAATAGAAGAGAAAATAATGACATAATCAAGTGGTTAACCTTCTACACAACGCTGAACAGAAGGTTAGGAAGGAAACGGCCATCACTACTAGAAACGGTGATATTAGTGAACTTGAGGAGCTTATTTATCTGAAAAACTGAGTTAAAAGAAAGATGTTCTAAATTTCACACAAAAGTTCGATCAATGAACGCCGAATGTTTCCTTATAAGGAAACGGCCATTCTAACTATTAGCATTACGACTCAAAGAAAACTGTAAACGCGAAACTTTGTCAGCCAGTAAAAGAAGGCACCAAAACAACATCGTAATGTCATAATCAGAAATCGACTCTGAACATAATAAGAAAATTAATCTCATGAAAAATTATTTGGGATTCAGCCGAAATATATTCTAGGAAGTATAAAAAATTGTGCGACAGTGGCAGCATACGTAGAAGATTAAAGGAAAAATTGCCAGCGTCCACAGTGGGTTAATATAATAACACATCTGCCATCTTCACCTGAACTTGCACCAATCGATTATTATCATCTGCGATCGCTTCAAAATGCTTTGATGAGGAAAACTTTCTCTAATAAGAAAACGATTCAAGAGGCAATTGAAAATTTTTCCACATCAAAACTTGCAAAATTCTTCTCCAAAGGTATCGAAAGTTGCTGTAACCTCGGAAAGGTTACTGAATGAGGAGTAACTAAAACGAAGGTTGGAAATAAAATCGTAACCTTTATAACTCCAACAAAATACAATACTCGCCAGCGGCGTGAAATAGGCAAACCACTAGTGTCCAACGTATTTATGGATTGGGATATAAGCATTAGTGTTCATAGGTACTGTATATAAGAAAAGGTTACCTGATAAATGGCAACATGTTATTGTAAATAATGGTGAAAATATAACTGAATAAAAATGTAACTGAATAAAAAGGCAATGGTGAATATATTATTTGAATAAAATAATATTGTACTTAATCTTTTAAAGAATAAAGTTGATAAACAAAATAGGAAATCTTTTGCAACACAAACTAATATCTATCTATCTATCTATCTATCTATCTATCTATCTATCTATCTATCTATCTATCTTCATTTCATCCGAAGCAATGCAATAAAGCCACTAAGACGCAAGGGTTACCGTGTATTACAGAAATTGAGAAAAAAAAAACTATTAAGGAGAGAGAACAATAAAGAACAGGTAATTAAGAAGACAAGATAATGCATTGCATTTATATTTTTGAAGACCAAAGTTGACTGGAAAGAAAGCGGCCGAAAGACAGTTCTGTAACCAAGACCTGCAATACAAGAAACTATTAGCATAGAACTTGCGGTTGTATCGAGTGATTTCAACTGTAAAATGATGAGAAATTACAGACAATCTAACACTACGCTTAAATTCAGAAAGTCTAGGTAGCACACACACACACACACACACACACACACACACACACACATATATATATATATATATATATATTCAGTTTTTGCAATCATCAGACAATTTGTCTGATGATCGCAAAAGCGTGAAAACCAGGTCACAAAAATCATATCCATACAACTGAATATATTAGGTCTATCACTGATATTGAAGCCCTTTCCAATAAATACTGCGCATATAAAATAATATATATATATATATATATATATATATATATATATATATATATATATATATATGAAGAAATATAGTCTTAAGATGTGCTATAGTGCTCAATATCAAAGATAGAGCGTGTGTAAATATAAAAGTGAACATAGAAATTAACACTTAGGCGACCGTCTGTTTCATATTAGATGTAATCGCCAGGCTACTGACGATTCCATCTAGCATGAAACTGTCGCCCTAAGTGTTGACTTTATGTTCACTTATATATATATATATATATATATATATATATATATATATATATATATATATATGGATAGAGAAAGGACAGAGAGAAATAGATAGAACCAATAATAGATTTGGTTTTTGAATAATATAAAGAAATTCAGATTTAATTTTTCTGAATTGAAAACAGAAATAGTGTATACAGAAAAATCTTATCTATTGACTTCTTAAAATAAAATTTCATAAAAATAACGAACATAGCTAAATTTAGTCTATGTTTTTTCAAATGCGTTTAACACATCAATCTTATTTCAGAGAGAAGAAATAAATTCAAATAGAAGTAACTGTACCAAAATTCGGTCTATCAGGATATTTTAAAAGAAAAATAATTTCAATGCTAAACCACTAATGTATTTATTTGGTTTCCCGTTAGAAAAGCGCCATTACCTTATATATATATATATATATATATATATATATATATATATATATATATATATATATATATATATATATATATATATATATATATATATATATATATATATATATATATATATATATATATATCATTCATATATATATATATATATATATATATCTTCATTATATATATATATATATATAAAGATCTTTACTAAGTTTAGTTGAGCCTTTTCTTATGAAAATTACTTTTATTTCTTTGGGAAGAATAAATTACCTAAAAAACATTAAATTATACATTTTCGAAGAACAAATCATACAATAATACATTTTAGGTTGTAGTGAAACTAACAATTCTTATAATATATAAATAAGTATATGATATAATATATATATATATATATATATATATATATATATATATATATATATATATACATATAAATATATATAACTTTACAATGTTCATATATATATATATATATATATATATATATATATATATATATAACTATATATATTACAATATATAATATGTATATATATAACTATATAATATATATATAAATAGCTATAACACATGCAATGCTCATGCATATATATATATGTATGCATATATATTATAATATATACATATATATATAACTATATCATATATATAATCTATATATATAGCTATATAATATATATGTAAATAACTATATCACATATAATATATATAGCTTACAATGCTCATATATATATATATATATTTATATATATATATATATATATGTGTGTGTGTGTGTGTGTGTGTGTGTGTGTGTGTGTGTGTGTGTCTGTGTGTGAAGTATTTTACTTGTGACGTTTTTTATCTGATTCACTCGAAGCGGATATTATAGAGAAAAGAAACATTAAAATAAAAGAAAGAAAAGTGAATTGAATTAGAAAATAGAAAAATTCTTTATATTAATTATGCAAAAATATCAGGAAGAAAAATATTATTAGTTATAATGAAGAAAATTTTTTCATTGTAGGACATTTAAACTGTAACAATCACATTTAACAAAATATTGTTTCAACAATACATTCTGATCAGTAACTCATAAATGACAAGTTTTTAGCAAATACTTTTTCATAACTTTTTCCTTTGAAGATTACAACTAATCTGGTATAATATTATTGTAACTTATATCACATTTTCCTAAGCGTTTTTTTTTTTTGCCAACAATATTCAACATATATAAACGTTTATCTAAGATAATCATTTTTTTTTCAACTAGCTTGGCATATTCTTTGATTTTTGATATGTCGACAATAAACAGATGCTGAATATAAATAAACAAAAGCGTATTTTTGTAATACAGTAGAGAAAAAAAAATGAACAATAATCCACCAGAATGTTCATAGATTGTAACAGGGTCGTGTCCGGCAAGAAGCAACTTTACTTGATAAAAATACGAGATTAAAAGTGGACAGCCATTTGCAACATGGTTCTGAGTGTTCATGTGGTTCAACCTGGATGAGATCGAACTTAAACCTTTCAGATTCAATTTGGTAAAATAATACAACACATAAGACATAATTATCCGAAATATCGAAATCTCCCCACCCCGATATTAAAAAGAAAAACGAAATCAGGAAAGGAAAATCATGAGACAGATTTAACAGGCTCTCACCAGGATGTTCGATGTAAGTCTGTTCTTTCGTTGCATTTTTCTCCTTAGATGCTGTACATATCTTTCAGCGTTGACAGACGTTTTTGGAACTCTCACGTCTTCGACCTTATCACTCTCATTGTCTATGATCAACTGCCCCATCTCTGTCAACCATAAATCTTCAAGAATTATATCTAACCAGCCTAGCCCAATCTATCCAAGCTTTCTTGACCTTTTTCTTTTCTTTTTTTTTATTATTAAGCGTACCCTTTATTCATTGTTTCAGGTTATATTAAATGTCACCTTTTATTTCGTCCTTTTTTTAATGCGTTCAGGCTCTCTTCCATCAGATTTCTTTTCTTTCTCTCTTTTCTTTCTTCCATCTTCACGTTCCCCTTTTTATACTCTACACTTTTTATGCCATCATCTTCCTTTCTTCTTTTTGAGCCTATTCGTTGAGGTCTGCCCAGGATTTGCTTTTTGTCTCACCTATTCTCTGTTCCTCATTTTCGATATCATTATTTCATTACTTTCTCTCTTTTTTAATTCTTGTGTATTTCATTACTTTCTCTCTTTCTTTACTTTTTCTTTTTTAATTCCTGTGTTTCTCATTATTTTCACTCTTTCTTTATTCTTTCTTTTTTTAGTTCCTGTGTATTTTATTACTTTCTCTCTTTTGCTTGTTTATTTCTTTTTCCATTTTCTTTTTTTTTTCTCATACTTTCCATTCTTTTAGTTCACCTCCTTTCATATCATTTTTTCCCTCTTTCTTTTTTCTTTCTTTCTTTGTTTATTTCATTTTCATTTTCTTTCTTTTTCTTTCTTTTTTATACTTTTCCATTTTTTAATTTACCTCTTTTCATAACACTCTTTATTTCTTGCTTTACTTATTTATTAATTTTTCCATTATTTTCTTTTTTCTTTCTTTCTTTCTTTCTTTCTTTCTTTCTTTCTTTCAGTTTACCTTCTTTATATCATTCTAGCTTTCTCTTTTACTTTCTTTCTTTCTTTCCAATTAGTTGTTAAAGTATTCCTTTCTTTCTTTTTACCTTTCAATTATTTTACCTTTTAAACTTTTTTTTTAATATTGCTTATTGCATCCCATTTCTTTTTCTTCTCCTTCTACTCGCTATCCGCTTTATCCTTTCTATCTCTCGATCTTTATTCTTTCTTTCTATTTACTTTTTTTATGTCTTTCTTTCTGTTCTTTTTTTTTCTTTCAATCTTTTTCCTTTCTTTTACCTCAATCCACTTCTTACTAATAATTTTTTGTTTCGTTTTCTTTTTCTTCTTCTTATCTTGTGGCACTCCCAGCAACTATTCTCTTCAGAGGGTTCATAAGAGACTATGTTTATTTACGGGAGAGGGACCTGAAGTGTTTTGCAATCCTAATAGACCCGTCAACTGATCCGAGTGTCCCCACTCCAGTCTTCTGTCACGCTTAATAATACAGCGTCTCGCATCCACGCCGAGAAGAAAAGAGCTCCTTCTAAAACTCCAGGTGTTGTTTGAAAAACAAACTTTTGGCACTTAATCCTTGGCTAGCCCTCTTCACACCACCATAAGAGGACAGCAGGCATTTTGATAAAGTGCGATATTTTTTTTTTGACTTATGTTGAACTGATTCATTCATTTTCCCGCCAAGTGAAAATTTCTTTCTTTCTTTCTTTCTTTCTTTCTTTCTTTATTTATTTCTTTCTTCCTGTCTTACTTTCTAATTATTCTTCCTTTTTTTTTCTTTCTTTCTTATCCTAGGTTCTTTCCTTCAATTTCCTTTTGTCCTGTCTTACCTTCTAATTATTCTTTCTTTTTCGTGTCTTGCTATATTTCTCTGTATTTTCTTTCTTTCTTTCTTTCTTTCTTTCTTTCTTTCTTTCTTTCTTTCTTTCTTTCTTGTCCTAGTTTCTTTCTTTTTCAATTTCTTTTTTGTCCTGTCTTCTAATTATCCTTCCTTTTTTCATGTCTTGTCCTATTTCTCTGTGTTTTCTTTCTTTCTTTCTTTCTTTCTTTCTTTCTTTCTTTCTTTCTTTCTTTCTTTCTTTCTTTCTTGTCCTAGTTTCTTTCTTTCAATTTCTTTTTGTCCTGTCTTCTAATTATCCTTCCTTTTTCATGTCTTGTCCTATTTCTCTGTGTTTTCTTTCTTTCTTTCTTTCTTTCTTTCTTTCTTTCTTTCTTTCTTTCTTTCAATTTCCTTTTGCCCTGTCTTATTTTCTAATTATCCTTCCTTTTTCATGTCTTGTCCGATTTCTTTCTTTCTTTCTTTCTTTCTTTCTTTCTTTCTTTCTTTCTTCTTCCCCATTCTCTCTTTTATTCTTGAAATATCTGGATGGTTTGGAATAATTGTTTGAACAGATTCTAAAAGAAGATTTTTCATCCTTTTTATGTTTTTCCTCTTAATGTTTTCCCTTTTTTAATTATTTTGACTCCCAATTTTCTACCTTTTTTGCATCACTTATTTGATTCCCTATATTCTTATTTATATATTTATTCCCTGTGATCTCTCATCTAATGATAGGGGCTAAACGACAAACCTCATCGTTTGAAAGGTCTTAGCAACAATTATGATGGCAAGGCGCTAAGAAGTAGTCAGAGACAAGCTTGGCTTTCAAGAAAAATGCAAATATAGACTAGGAAGGTAAGCGAAAAAGAGAAAGAGAGAGAGAGAGAGAGAGAGAAAGAAATGAGGTAGGAGGTACTAGTAGTAGTTTGTGCTAGTAAGTGTTAGACTAACTACACTTCTAGAGACTGAATACACGAGAAGAAGTTGGTGGAAGAAGAGGAAGAGGAGGATGAGTAGGAGTATAAGAAGAAGATGAAGATGTAAGAAAAGGATGAAGAGAAGCAGGAAGAGGAGTAGAAGAAGAAAAGGTAATAGTAGCAGTATAAGAAGAAAATGAAGTAATAAAGGAAGAGGAAGATAAATAGTAGAAGGAATAGAAGGATAAGTAGTAGAAGAAGGAGGAGGTTAAGTCGTAGTAGTAGTAGTAGTAGAAGAAGAAGAAGAAGAAGAAGAAGAAGAAGAAGAAGAAGAAGAAGAAATGAAATAGAGATAGAAACAAGAGGAGGGAGGAGAAAATGTAATAATAGTAGAAGCAGTAGTAGTTGTAAAAGAAGTGAAGACGGAAGAGGAGGAGAAGAAGAAGAAGGTGAAGAAGATAAAGTATTATTATTATATTATTATTATTATTATTATTATTATTAGAAGAAGAAGAAGAAGAAGAAGAAGAAGAAGAAGAAGAAGAAGAAGAAGAAGAAGAGGTATCCCATTTGACAAAGAGGCATGAAAACACGGAGAAGACAATGATGGAACGAAGAATGAAAGAAGTAAAAAAAGAAAAGGAAGAAAAGCAATTAAATGGGCGTAAGAGAAGATAACGAAGAGAAATAAGGTAAAGAGAAAGAAGAAAGTATAGAGACTGGTTGGGGGGGAGGTATATGAAAAAAGAAAGGGATGAAATTTTATGAAGGAAAGCCGTGAGGCTAGGGGTCATAACTAATTAAATCTTGAATAAGGGTCTATGATTCGGTGTAATTGCCAAAAGTCTTTCGTTCCTTTTCATAGCGATAAATTATCGCACATAAAACCCAGGTGCTGACGTTGTTAAATAGCGAGTACTCCTAGTGTAACCTCACACCACCCACGTAATTAACCCACCCACCAAATGTGTTTGGGTTTCCTATCTTTGGTAGTCCACCTGGACATTGTTCTCCTCTCGGTCCGTCGCTATCCCACCTGATTGCTCCCCTGAGCCAACAAGCCAATCACGGATTTGGTGTTATTACGAGAGGTCCCTTATATATACACGTCCCAGTTCTAAAAGATGTTGACCCCTGAGGTCAGACAGAAGGTTTTCTTTGCATGCCTCGAGCAAAGTGACATCACATCTGGTTAATCATTTGCACGATAAGCTCTTTATTTATATTTATTACCTGCTATTTATATTAGCTACGTGTTTTTTTCCAGGTTTACAAGTAACGTTCAGATAGAAAGAAGAGAAGACTATTCCCTAATCTGGATTAAAATGAGATATTTCCTTCTCCTAGGTGATACGTGGTTAATTTATGCATTAAATTAATGTATTCAGCATTGTAGTAATGATGTTAGCCAGTGGACTTGGCAAAACGATTTTGATTTAAAGAGTCAGTATTTCATAGATATGCTACGAATATACAATAGTATATAGCCTGAAGGGAGGCACATTGGAGTAATAGATAGCGGCTCGGATTGAAGAATAGGAGAGCTGAGTTCGAATTCCAGCCGAATCCATTACATTCACTTACGTGCTAATACCCTTGCAAAAGGTATGAATCCTCTTATTCTCCTCCCCAGCTATGAGTAAATAGCAGGACAGACCTAGTTCTATAGCCAGCAAGAAATGGCAACCTACTGCGGGAAAAAAATCTGCCCCCTCAGTCATGTATCACGCACGTCACTTCTGTGCTATGTGTGATACACGCTTAGGCGATCATGTATCTTTCGATACATGACTGACAAGGCAGATTTTTTCCAGCAGTAGGTTGCCATTTCTTTCTGTTGTAGAAAGACTATAGGACCCGATCTGTCCTATTTACCCCTAGCTGCGAGGTGTGGGGAAGAATAAGTGGATTCATACCTTTCCCAAGGGCATTAGCACGTAAGTGAATGTAATGGATTCGGTTGGAATTCGAACTCGGCTCTTCGATTCCTCAATCCGAGCCGCTATCTACTACTCCACCGTGTCTCCTTGCATGTCACGTAAGTGGCAGATATAACCCAAATCCATCTAAATAGAAAAGACACAGAAAAAACAGATTTCATAAAAATGCGACAAATATTCACTAATACAAGCCTCAAGTTCTTCATCTTTTTGTGCTAAAATTTACGTAATGCAGGGCTTTAGAGTCACTCAAGGTAGAAGGTTACTATTAAAATTTCTATGATCAATGATGTGTGTGATATGACGAGATGGTAGAAAGTGAAAATTATGAGGATAAAGAGGTTACATATCGATCCTTAATTTGAAAAGGTTAGGATTTCAGCTTTCAGTGAAGCATCCACGCAGGAGCCTGTTTTACACAGTAGCAGTTCTTGAGAAAAAAAAAGGTGTCAGAGAAGAAGGCCGGAGCGTACAACAGCGGAAACGTTGTGAATAATGAAGATGAGGATAAGAATCCGAATAATGTAAATAATATAAGTAATCATAATACCTCATTTCAGACATGTAGACAGACATCTTTTACCATTGCTGCTAATATCAGATTACTACCTTTTTGAATTTTACAGTTTTTATTATCTTTTCTTTCATTTTTAATTATTTTTTTTGCGTTGTGTGCGTAGTAATCCAATCACTGTTTTATTTATTTTTCTGTTGATTTTAGTTATTTCTTTCGACTTTCAACGTCTTTTACATTTCCTTCTTTATCCGTAAATTGATCGTTTCTTTTTCTTTGCAAGGATTTTTTTCTTTCTGTTTTATGGCACTCCCCAACCTTTGAAATTGTCTTCTATTCAACAAATTTTTCGGGTCGTTGAAACGTTTAACTCCCTTTGATAGAGGGGGAGTTACGCCAGAGCGCCCTTGTTAGGCACCTCGATAGGTAAGAGTTACATCACACCCACACACATACACACACACAGACGCACACACACGAACATTCATGCACGTAGACACGCAGCCACAAGGTACTACTAGAAAATTCGGGGAATCAGACCAAACGGGTCAACCACTTTGTCAAGTTATTCAGCGTTTCCCATGTCTCACCGGATATTTGATACATTTCTCGAAATCACACTGCGGAAAAAATAGAAAGAACACTATTATTTGTCAATTTTTCTTATTTGTGAGGATGACACATCCTGAGATTTTGGGCAGCACAACTTAGATATTAGAGTGGGTACTATAAAATGTAAATTTCACCCTCTACAGACCAAATGTTTAAACGTTAGAAACGTTATGCTAGTAGGGACAGATAACTGAACATTTTATTTTATGCTATATAAATATTTTATACTATATATACTATTTTATAACTATATAACTATTTTATACTATATATATTTTATACTATATATATATATATATATATATATATATATATATATATATATATATTATTTAGTAATCCAAACAGCAGGATAAAAATCCAGAGAGCTCAATGTAAAACAGAGCAAATGATAGGTATTATAAAAACAATGACTTTAAGAGATCATGGTGATATTTTATTTCTGTAGAACCGATATCGGTTCCAGCTCATCAGACTGCATATTCAAGTACAAAAAAGTTTTTGTATTTGAATATGCGGTTTGATGTCTGGCAAGTACTTGATAGCTGAAGATGCTATCGCTGTGCGTAATTGCGAAACTTAATCTGTATGGCTGGAAAAGTATATGACATCTCCTGATGGTAAATAAATAGTTGCACGCTGGTTTGCCGTCGTTATGAGTTTTTCAAATAAATGTGAGGAAGAAAAAGTATGTATTATAAAAAATATAATTATTATTTTGAAAAAAATACCTAGAAGAAAATGAAGCAAGGTTCTCATAAAGGAGGCAACCATAGCAACTTTTATTTCAATAAATATGAATCTCCTTAAGCAGATGATTGCTGTTTTTTGGAATGACCTTCACCGTTGAAAATTAGTATCTTTAGATGTTTCAAATTAAAGTTAGTTTATAGTCCTGGAACAATGATAGGCCTCCTATGTTATTATGTTATAGTTAATTTATTGTTTGCTCTGAAAGTCTTTGATAATTCAACGTCTGAAATTGAATTTCTATCTGGATAATATAAATGTAGCGAATACGCCATTGTTTGTCTAATTACCAAATACGCCTATCATATACACTCATCATTTTTAAAAGCAACCCAACGTGTTTATGGGTAGTCTAGTAAATAAGATAAATAAGTAAAGTATGTTTAATGACTACGTAAAACTATTAGCTTGACACCCAACCCCCAAAAGATCTAGGAAGAACTGATTGCCCTTACCCACTTTTTCTCATAATATCCCGCTTGTGTCTAGATAGGGCTAACTAAAGTAGAAATGACTCAGTCTGAAGATCGCTTGAGGCGCGAAACTGGTAGTCACCATACCGTGTTGATTCTTATTTCCACATTGTTAATATTGTTTTCAACGAGTTTCATATTTTGTTCCTTATGCTATCTTTCTTTCATATTCAATTCATACTTTCATATATATATAGATATACATATATATATATATGTGAGTGTGTGTGTGTGTGTGTGCTTGCGTGTGTGTGTGTGTGTGGATGACTTGCTCTCGTTCAGCGATTGAGCACTATGGGGCAAGGGAAAATACATCACGGATATAAGACGTTAAAAGATGCCTTTTCTCTGCCT